GAAGACAATACTACCAAAGGCATTACTGCTCAAAAGCTTTCACTTAGGTAAATACAACTGAGTATTCTGAATCTCTACAACACAGCCACCTTTTCTGTGCTGTGTTATGTATAAAGCAAGAATAAACTGTAATCCAGGGATTGCTGCCTGAAGAGTGGCACCAGGGCCAGCAAACATACACCACTATTTATACAGCTACTTGTACTCCCAAGCTCGTCCCTTTTTTCACAGGAGTCAGTGCTCTAATCTACTTTTACCTGGAGTATTTATAAATATTCATTCTGTACACCTTGGTCTTCATTACAAATATTTGCAAGGAAAACATCTCAGTTGAAAGGTACAATGGAACACTACCTTGCCTGTCTTCTGCTCCAGGGAAGTTGAAACCTGGAAACTTAAATAGAGCAACTGGCAGGAGCAAGCTGAAGTAATCCAAGATCTGGAAAAGCAAATAAGAGTGGAAAGGTCCAGTATCAGCAGCTGATTTTAACAAGCATAAAGTATTAACAAAGGAAAACTGAGTTTGCAAACAGTATTAGCTGTTTTGCCTGTTCTTTATTAAAACCTGCTTTTTTTTTGAACTCTACTTGGTCTGTGACACCACTCTACATATAAGAACTAAGACAGGAGCAAAAAAGAAATTTCTAATCACTTGCAGTAAAAAGGAGTCTGGTCAACAAAGCTCTTCCTTATAAATGTCAATAATACACTGTCCACAATTATAATTAGATTGCTGCAAGATGTGCCTCCAGAATACTGGTTTACCTTTATTTGAATTGCTATGCTTGTCAAGCTCTTTTCAACACTACCTTAGTCTAAAGTTTAACCAAAGAATTAAGGATGATTCCTTAATGTTCCTTTTGCCAATCAAAGCAAAATCTCTGGCTGAGTATAAATAACAATTCCATTGAAATGCAGCCAACAAATCACCTGATTACTGTCCAGATCCTTGAAATTCAGCACAATGATATGCACTCATGATGGAATATCAACATAATAGCAATAGATGAACATAATTAAAGCTGAGTATCCATGAAAACAAGCGTGAAGTTTGCACTGAAAACAGGGGAAACAAGTAAAATAGAAAATAGACCATTAATACATTGTGCTGTCCAGCTTGAGGACTTCTTATGTTAATGATTTCAACTTCTGAGGGTGGAGTTGTATTTTTCAAAATAATGAAGTCCAAGGCATTCAAACCCAGTCTTTTCTACACTGTTACCAAAACCATCTGCAGGAACCTCTCTGAACACCTGCTCCTCTCTGCAGGTAACCTCAGCCTCCCTCTCTGACACATCTCCCTGAGGGACCACAGTCTCTTCAACCTCCATTTAGGGTCCTTTTATGGGATGGGATTCCCCTCACAGTCTAAGCACCAGGAGAGGAGAGCTCTTTGTAACAACTCTCCAATCTGTTCCTTGTAGGAATACAGTTGACATACTGTCTTGACATTTAAGGAAGGGGAGGAGGAATTAGTCTTAATTAAGGGCTTCTGCAGAAACGCAGAGCTGAGTCACTGATTGGCTTCTGAGAGAAACAGCAACGTTTACTTGCACAGTCACCACTAAGACTGAATGGACACAGAAAGGGATGGGTTAGTCACAAAAAGGACAAGATCCAGCTTAAAGATACAACCAAAGAAAGCACACGAATCATGTTCAACTAACGCAGGTTTCATTTTCACTAGTAAAGCTTTCTAAACACTGATTATGAAGCTGCTTCTCATACAACCCAATTTTATCCTTCGTATGTGTGCTCGTTATTACGTGAAGAGGTAACTACTGCACAACAAAAACTTACAAACACTCCAAAGGGAAAGGCTTCCAATTCTGACACTGGGTATTCACAAGGGATACTCAGAATTACCCTGTAGCTTTAGGGATAATCATATTTCCTTCATATAAACACAAGCACCCAAAAGAACCCAGCACACATTTTAGCACCAAATAAAACAAAACCAGATTTGGTTAGGTTTTAAGCCTTAAAATAAATAAATAAATAAATAAATAAATAAATAATTAAATAAATAAATAAATAAATAGAAAACCAGAACAAGCAAACAAAAAAATCCAATTACATACACATTTTAACTGCACTTGGAAAACATGAGTTATAAACTACAAGGATGCACAAAGAACACATTGTGCCAAACATATCTAACAGTTTTATTTGATAAATTACTGGTATAGTAGAGAAAGACAAGAAGAATGAACATAATTTATTAAGACCTTCTTTAAAGTGTCCATTTTCCCCTAGAGCTTATGGAAATAGCAAAGCAACAAAAACATGTAGCCCTGCAAGAATATTTTAAATGTAAGTGAAGAAGCCACAGGAAGGCAAACAAGACATTTAAGATATTATTTTTAAAAGGAGAAAATATGGATTATACTGGCCAACTGAAGTTTCACTTAGAACTAATTAATCTTAATGCACAAAATAAAACATTGCCTACACAGCAACAAAATATTTGGAAATAATCAATTTGCATTTTGCAATCATTCTCATGTTAGAATCTGAGCTGTAGAAGTCAACAACAGTTTTCTTGCAGGCTTAATATATCAACATTTGGGCCTCTGTAGTAAACATGGCCAATTTGTCTGAAGCTGTTTATACACACACTAATGACATTCTATACATAAATCAGATGACACAGCTGAAAAGTGATAGTATTTTTAACTTTTGCAGAAATAGATAAAATTATAAATACATGAAATAATATAAATAAATGTAATTGACATAATTGAAGCTACAGATACTGGAGAAGAAAGAATGACATGTATAAAACTGAATAATTCAATTTACTGCAAATTCACAAAAGGATTCATGTGACAGACAACAAAATGAATATGAGAGGATTATACATTGTAACTACAAAAAGGCAAATCCTATAAAGTACGTACACAGTTGTAATATGCACGACAAGTGGATAATCCCATGCTCAATTTAAGTTACATGAGTTGACCCAAGCCATTGTTTTCCATAGCATCTCTATATCCTCCAGTTTTCCCAACATGTAAAAATATTAACTAAGTCACCAGCAAAGCCAATGGAAAATGCAAACACACAATTCAAAGGCTGTCAAACTAAAGTATTTGACTATTAACTACAGGCTCTCTGTAACACACTCTTCTCATTGCACTCAGACCGAGACATAAACCATAACAAAGGTAACAAATTATAAGAAACTGAAAAAAAAACCCTGAAAATGGACTCAAATAAAAAAAGTTTAATAAATAAATGAATGAAAACAAGCAGGCTCCACAGCTTCCACATAGTGCCTTAATTATTCTAAGTTTTCTCAATGCTATAATACCATTAAATTAGCGTTATTATAAACAGAATATTTTGAAGAGATTGAATTAGAACTTGCATCAGAAGTGCTACACTTGGAAATGTAACAGCTCGCATTGAATGAAACGAGTAACGTTGCTGATCAAATGTCTCACAAGGGGAAAAAATAAACAAGTTGAAAGAAATGCAACCAAAGGTTTCACAGTAAGTGGTGGCATTGGCATGCAAACTAAACTCAGATTTTACCAGCACTCTATGCCTAACACACAGGAAAAAAGCACTAGAATTTCTTTTCTGCACACAGAATGTAACTTTTAAAGACAGGAATTGTACTCTGCTGTCATTCAAAGATTTAAAATTACTCAGAATGTCTAAAAATGCATTTGGAGGGAAATGTGAAAGCAGGTTATGCAATCAGGGGGCCTGCTATTTATTGGAGATAAGAGACATCTTGTCCTGAGGAAAAAGGAAAAACATTTAGCGCCACTTTTCCATTAGACATTTCAGTGATTCAACTTAAAATTAAGATCTTAGCACATGCTCTGGAATGTCTTACTTGAATCACCAACATCCAAGATTTGAAAACTAAATACTCAGAAAGCTGCAAACTGCTTACAATTGACATATTGCGTGCAAATATTCTTTGAACTGAACTTTGCATATTCCCGTTTTTAAGAGTGTCAAATCATTAACGATTTTTAATGACATTAAAGCCCACAAAAATAATTTGAGCCTAAGCTGTGTTTCCTGTCTCAAAAGCAACTTTCACCTGAGCATCGCTGAGTTCACATTTTAGGTTTCAGCCTAGAACCAAGAACAAGTGGACTTTTTTTTTTTTTTGGGGGGGGGGGGGGGGGGGGAAGAGGGCAGGTGTTTTTTAGTTCTTTAGTTCTGGAATTCACTAATTTCTTAAGTGACTTATGAAAGATCTGCGATATGAATCTGTTCCTTGAACACGTGGTATCCTCGGGAAAACACAGCTACCTCTGCCCCGCGTATGGCGCTCTCACCCACGTTCAGCTCAAATCCTTTAGGAACTGGTACGAGAGCACTTGATCCATCACTTGGGACAAAGCGCGTAAAGCACCAATAACGACTTTAAGCGTTAGTGCCTTACACATTAAACATAAGCAACTGCTCAGAGCCTCTGCGATCCAAACATAGGCTGGTCATTGCAATGACTGCCTTGGTTTTGCTGGGGGGGATTTGCTGTAGTACACCGTATTTCTGGATTTGCTGTGTTTCTGCCCACACCGAGGGTCCCTCCCCGCACACCGAGCGAGAGGAGGCGGGCACGCGGTCCCACCAAATAAAACACTTTAATTACTGCGAAACGCTCCCGTGGGGCGGTTCAGTACCCAAATGGCAGTGAGGGGAGGATGGAGGGGCAGCGAGGCGACCCCGGACCCGGTGCGGGGCAGCGGGCGGAGAGGGCACAGGGGGAGCGGCCCGGCCGCAAGGAGCGGGGGCAGCGCCGGCACAGCGCTGCGCTCCCGGTTCTCCTCAGCGCCCGCTCCTCCCGCCGGGAAGCTCGGCAGAGAGGGGAGGGAAGGGGAGGGGGAAAGGAGCAAAATGGAGACTTACGCTCTCGCAGTGACGCGCATGCGCGACACCTCCTATGGCAGCGCGGGGCGGGCGGGACGAGGGAGCGGTGCCCGCCCTCAGCCTCAGCCGCCCTCAGCCTCAGCCGCCCTCAGTCGTCCCGGTGCTGCCGCCCGGGCGTGTCCTGTCGTGAGGGGAGCGGCTCCTCGGCCAGGGTGGCCGACCCTCCGGTGACAGCCCTTCCCTCCACGGGCAAGGTACAGCTGGGGAGCGGAGGAGGAGCACACCTGGGGCTGTGCCGTGCCCGGCGTCGGCAGGGAGAAGTCTCACAAATTAAGTCTCACAGATTGCGTGGACTTGGCATCGCAAGAGGTCACAGGATTACAGATAGGGAAAGTAATGTGGAGGTGTGTGTCCTGTGCTTGTGCTGCTGCCCGGGTGTGTGGTTCGGACCACACTGCAGACGAGAGTTGTAACATTCCCGTCCGTTTTACTTTCCTCTGACGTGGCTTTAATTTTTGGTTCTGTGTAGCGCAGTGAGACTCTCTCACCCCGTGCCGCGGTGCGGGCAGTGCTGATGGCCCTGTTGATGTCCCTGGCACAGACACGGGTGTTGGAGCTCCTCAGTTCAGTGTCGGACTCACACAGGGCGCTCTGAAGCAGCGGCTTCTTCCAGAGCAGCACATCCAGCACCATCATCAGCTTCTGCCTTCAAGTATTTCTCCGCCCACCGCTTTCCTAAAGGAAAAAAAGCGTAGCCAGTACCTTGCTTTTGCTAAGTTGGACTGAGCTTTTGTAGTGAAGACAAGGTCTTACAGCCAGGTTTCTAATGGGCCTTTGGTGTGTAGAGAGTTCATTTTCAGCCTGGTACCCAAGAAAGCTCTCTTAAATAGCTACTTTTATGTATATCCACTGTAGAGGAATTAAGTTGCTGAACATTACTGTTATTCCAGTGCTTCAGGCAATCAGAGATGCTGGGCTCAAGCCCAAACCTTGAACTTTATTTTATATTCTAAAGAAAATTAGTATGAAAGACAGGTTTGACATATTTGCTGGAGCTGGTACCATTAAGAAGTGATGCAAGGCACTTTTACTGCTGTGTGAATGAGCACTGCCACAAATAATGACCAATAGTGCAAGTGTCATAATTTACCCTGTACACTCATATTGAAGACATTGTTGTCACCAACTCATGAATGTAGTATCAAGTATCATTATTACTTAATACCAACAGAGCCAAGACTGCCTTTTGATGCCACTGCTGTGAGTAATGCCTAGGTATCTGTACTCCCATACAGCAAAGTCCCCAGCCTAATCCCAAAAATCACTCCATGCTGAAGTGACAGCATCAATTCTCCCTGCTGTGGCACATTTTGTCAGCCCTTTGTGACACTGCACAGCGACAGGTCCCTTGAGACTGTGATCTGCAAAGCTCCCCCAGATATGTCCCTTTTACAGTCCATACACCTGTCTTCTAGGATTATGCAATTGAGAATCCAGCAGTGGCTGCTCTTCCTGTATCCACTTGATCCTGAGAAACATACCGAGCACTCATTTTATTTACAGAAGCAAACACAGTGTGTACAATTCCCATATCCAGTGAAGTATTTTGCCATCGAAGGGTCACCTTATTTCTCAATTATTATCTTCTGCAGTTACACCCTGAATGGCAGACAGACCTTTGCCTCAAGTTACCGAGTCATTGCAAATGCTAATTTTGGTGTAATAATTTTTCACTCTCTTTATGTTCCTGAAGTCCTAGCATGAAGTCCTAGTGGTTTTAATGACACTACAGTTGCCCATTGGTTTTATTGCCTTGCACTGATTTGGTAGTTTTCCTGATGTCTTATTGAACTCACTGAACTGAGTTAATAAATAACAGTACAGCAGTGACTCCGTTTCCCAAAACTGACTCCATTTGTCATAAGGAACATGAAAACAGTAAAGTCTATATCTTGACTTCAACAGCCTAATCTGCATCACCTTGCTTTCTCTGAGTTATTTGACTTTTCAGCTCATCCCACCCTGCAGGGATCATACTTTTCCCTCCCTGTCATGCTTTACTGCCATAAGTTGTTAAGGAGACCATATCACTACTAAAAGCAAAGACCATCAGACTTCTATATAGACAGTTCTCCAAATCAAAGGATACTGTGTGAGATGGTGTGCCCATCACACCCTGATGAAAATACACTCATGTATCCTTTTATGTGCGTTATCCCTTGTTTACTCAGTATTTTAAACTACTAAACAAAAACGTTGCCTCTTCTGAGGTTGGTGGGCAAAGATAAGAATTTAAGAATCTTTGGTTATTCCAGGGCCACGCTCGTGATTCCATGAAAATGAACACTGTACTGAGTATATGCTGAAAAATAGAGATTTCAGTAAAGCAGCACATCAGAAAATCTGCTTAAATATGTCAGAAAGTTTTAAAACCAACCAGAAAAAAAAAAAGAAAAAAAAAAGAAAAAAAAGAAAAAAACCCCAAACCATGAACCCTGACTGTTATTCAACAGTGTTGAAAACAAACTGCAAATTCTAATCTCTTTGAATAGCTCTAGACATAATTCTCCACTTCTAACTTCGCAACCTCTGTCTGTAACCAGAGATTATGTGTTACATAAATACTTACAACTGCTAAGATTTGTAAGAAACGTGGGAAGAGGTAGGCTACTGCTACAGCAAAAGCCTTGGCTTACAAAAATACAGCTTTAATATTCTCTTATTAACAGAGAAAAACAAATACAATCCATAAGCAGAAGTGAAGTGTGTTTCTAGATAATCTGCTTCTAACATTCAGCTGAGCATGAAATCTCTTGAAGAAAAGCCTGGTAGAGATCCCAGGAAAACATTCTTTTAGGTCACTGCTGCTTATTTGTTTGATGGGGCACTTCACTTTGTTGCTTTATACTGAGCTGCTTTATACTTATGTAGTAACAAATTTTTTCCTTCCTCTAATCCTCAGCAGGAGCACAAGTCCTTAATATCTTGTCTTTGCCAATGTCAGAGTTTCAGTAAGTCAAGTCCTCATAGAAGGTGTTTTACCTGCAAAGTGATGTATGAAAGTCTACCTGCCTCTGTGATGGATTGGAATTGTGTTTATTTTTCAGTGAATTCTGTGGTTTGCAATATGAAACTATCTTAAATTATCTTAAATTACAAGTCTTAGATCTGTGATGTTACACAGCATGTATTTTCAAGCATTCTTCTGCCTTTTGCCTTAATATTTGTTGTGTATCCAAGAAGTAGGAACATAGTGGTTCTGAAGAAGTAAAAATGGTATTAGTGAATCAGAAGCTGGCAGTTTTGTCATGTAACAAGGAGATTCTTCTCATGGTCTGTTTCTGGGTTCTACAACTTAAAGTGTGTGTTTGTTTCTTCTTTCTATGTGAAATGATATTCACAATCCTCAAGATTCTGTGAGAAGAGACCTTCAGAAAAGGAATCCATGAGAAAAGCAACAAAGCATCATAGGACTTTTTAAAGAAATTTTCACTGTTTTCTTTCTTTAGTATTCAATTCTAAAGCTATCTTTTGTTGGTTTTATTTAGATGGGATACAGAGATTGTATTGTGTTGGATTACTGCTATTTTAGGGAGCCTGGGCCTGAAGGACTCTTATAGTATCACTCTCATGGCTGCTTCTTTGTTACTGTGATTCAGGTGTCCTCTCACTAAGTATTTTCTTCAAGCCACAATGTATTATCCCCTGGCCAACTCACCAACTACCTCTTTAAGACCAATTGGCTGTTTCTTCTAACTTGCTCTTGGTCACCTCTCTTTTCTCAAAACCGGGAAGAGCATCCGTGGGTTTGGCAGAGTAACAATGATCCTGCATCGAACCAAAGCAGCCCTTCTGTGCAGCCAGGCATTAATTCCTCTCTGCTAGCTTGTCATCACCAGATGTCTGCTGAGTTTCCACCCTCTGCATTTCCCGTGACTGCACCCACAAGACATCCAGAAATGGTTCTGTATTTTCAGTGAGAGCACCACATCCTTTTCTTGAACATTTCTCTTTGCTACCTGAGCAACTGCAGCTGCTCCACAGAACTGCAGCCTCTCTTTAGGTTACATGTCACACCTCTCTCCTGAGTGAATGAGTCTACAAACAGCATAAGAGTATAATTTACTTTAAGAGTTTCATCACTTGTGTTTTGCAAAGTGGGCTTTGCACAGAAAGTAATAAGAAATATTCTATATCCAACACAGAAAAACATTTCCGGGTTTGTATCAACAAGTAAACCACAAAATGGGTTTTTTTGCCATAAGAAGCACTGGCCATGAAGTCTCTCTCTGCCCATAATGAAGCATATCTGAAGGAGGACTCACAGCTACATCTAAGCATGAGAAGTGTAGGCACATTTCCCTGTGGAAATGGCACTCACTGAACCTGCTCACCAGCAGTAGGTGCAATTAACTGTGTCCAATTTACATTTGGAGCACAAGGGACAAGCTTTCACAGCACGCTGAATGCAGCAAACACAACAAGCTGGGCTTTGTGAACACACTGCATAGTTTCTCAGTTCAATGGGAAACTTTACAAAATGTATGTGCAAGGTATAATTACAGCATGTCACAAATAAACTTTCAAAAGGATAATTGAAACAACACTCATATCTTGAAAAAAGGAACTGGTTTATTGATGCAGGTTCACAGACATATGTCATAGTACACAATGCAATTAATAAAATATAAACACCAATTTTCAAATCAACTCAGCTTGATAACTTGAATTCAAATTTTAGGAACAGCAAAAAAGCTAAAAAACACCATAAAATAAGCCCAATCCTTCAGCTGACTAGTAAACATGAAGGAAAAAAAATTGGAAACCGTTAATATTTTTCTAACTCCTTAGGGGTCTTTCTTTCATGTTTTTTTCATGCTCTCTGTGGCCACTGAGACTAGTAGGAAACCAGCCAATTTAGTCAAAAAACTTTGCAGCATAGCAGGGAGTCTCATTTGTCATCACATGCAATAGCAGCTGTCTCTGTTAAGAATGAAATTAATCAGTACAGACTACATAAATTAGGAAATTCTTTAGATGGTTAACAATGTACCTTCGAACGAACAAAGGCCAATCTTTGTCTCCTGATACTGGGAAATTTCTCTTTCAAATATGCCAGTTTTGTGGTTTGAAACTAAGGAGCAATGAAATTCCTTAATGTATTTTTTACACAAGTATTTCTGGCAACTGAAGATACTCAGTGCACACAAGGGAACTAAATGTTATAATTGTAAGAGCTATATCCAGACTCAGGTTTTTTTCACCTTTCTTCACCTGCTTCCATTCTTTTCTTAATTATTTCATGTTATTGACTAAGTTTCCAATCCAGGTCAAATTTGAGAATTGCAAGAAACAAAGAGTATAAAACCTTGGGAGTATGTTTCTTCATGTTAAAAAACCCTGAAATACACTGTTTTGAGTTAATATGCTGAACATGTAGCAAATAAATCCCTAAAGATACTCAACTTCATGAAATTTTGCACCCTCCTCAACTTTGGCACTAAGTAAAACAGTTTGTGTGTCATTCAGGAAGACAGAATTTTCTTCTTAAAAATTCATTCCATACAGCCTTGAGAACATTTAGGTGCCTTCTAACCCCAAGTATTTTCAGTTTGCACAATGCCTCTAGCCTAAAAACACAGATTGATGATGTGTTTAAAATCATCCAAGGAACATAAATGAAGGAAGAAACTGGTTGCAGAAGCTTTATGCCTCTTTTCTTTACCACCACCTCTGTATGTTTATTATGGAACCTCTATGTAAAGCAGGTAACCCAGCAGAAAAAAACTGACCTGTTCTGTAAAATATGAGAGTTGCCTGTTTAGAACTCTGGCCTACAGCCATAAAAATTTGTTTAGTTGTCTCACAGTTATGTCACATACTCCCTCCTCAAAAGATGTGGGCTGGATTAATTTGATACTGTAAAAATACGTGCTATGTGAAAAGACGAGCTGACATATCAGCCTTCAATTTTGAGAAGAAAGGGTATCTCAGAGGGCTGACTGGTTCATGATTGCAAGAATGATCTAGGAATGGGGTAAAAAAGGCCAGTGTTGATGCACCAGCTTAAGGGAAAGCCCAACATTTGTTTATGTTATTAAATGACCTTATTATTGGTATAACTCTGTGTTGCAATCCCAAGGTACTGGGAAAGGACACACTCACAGGTATCTGATGCACAGATAGTGAGGCCATGCTGGGTTCTCAGAATGCTGCTTGCCTGAGCTGACAGAGGGCCTTTTCCAAGGATACCATGTGATGAACACCCTCAATGACTTTTAGAGAATGATACATGGAATACCAGTGTAAAAGGCAGAAAAGCAAATTTGTACATAAAGACTTCAGTATTTACCTCACTCTTCCCATCACTGTTCGTTACCTCTTTCTGAAAACAACAGTGAAGATTTTCGTTTTGTTCCAGGTTTTATTTTAATTCTTTCTGCAATTCTTGGGAAAAAAAAAGATGGTATATGTTGCCTGTTTAACTAAAGGAGCAACAAAAACCTTAAGCAAGATCATTCTGATATAAAAAGAACTGGATCTTTGTCACAAAAAAGAACACAAGGAAACTTTCATGTACTACAGAAAACTCACTTAACCTTCAAAATCTGCTAGGCAGTTTTGTGAGGAACCACAGCAACTAAAACACATATTACAATAATTAAATATAAAAGCAAGGGTTGAGCATCACATATGTTATCTACAAAAGTTGTTAGACAATAGATGGGAATGTTAATGCAAAGAATATTCATGTTGTACTGCTATCAAGGGCATACATCAAAGTGGAGTGTTTTGTTGCAGAATCAAGGGAAAATGACTGTTGTTTTGGCACACAGTATGACACGGCATGTCAAAAGAAATTATAAAATGTTTTCAAGATGTACTGAGTATATCACTTATAAAGTGTTGTGTTTACTAGGAAGGAAGAAACAAAAGGCAGAAGAGTTGGAGGATCCTCACAGCCCTTAAAGCAGCCTAGGTAAGCATGGTTACAACCTTTGGGCTTTTGCAAGCCAGGCCTAGTCTTCACAGACAAGCTCTGTGTGAGCAATATGGCACATAGGGATTTACAGAACCTACATAAAATTTAAAATTTCTTATTTGAAGTGATTCCATTTCAAGAAGCTTAAAATTATCTTTTCCTCCTGAAGATTCCCTAAGATGCTGATTTATAACTCCGTTTTACATAGAAAAATGCTCTAAATTTCTCTTGTAAGCATCTCACTGGAAATAACAAAGCCATTCATAGGTTTGCTCAAATGTATTTTAAATTGGTTGATGGACTAACATTGAAGGACTAAGTATAGCTATGGATTCACTTCCCGTGAGTGATTTTTATAAAATTTCCATATGTCAGTGACACAGTGTCATTTAAGGACCTTTTTTCTAAATCACATAAAACCGATTTAAACCAGTTACTGTTTTTAATCAAATTCTGCTGCCCCAACTTAGAACTTGTCCTTTGAATCCATAAATTACCTGAAGGAAATTTACCTTGAGTATGATAAAGTATTGACAAACACGTAACTCATCCTCTGACAATTCTTGGTGCTTGTGAAAAACGGACAATGGTGAAAACAGCTGTGCCAGCAGCTGCTTCGGTGCAGTTACAATCTTACTTGACAAGACCACAAAAAACTGAGAAGGCTGAACAGTTTCCACACTCCTGATAACTTACATATGTCATGTTTTCCTCTTTATGCTCTATTTTGAGTAAGTAAGGGACATTCCAATATTTTTAGATTCCTTTTTTGTTTGTGTTCTCTGGTGTTTGCTTGTAGCAAAGGAGGGGAGTGAGGGGGTTTGAAAGGGACTGCAGGGTTCATAAACTGTGTATGCACGTGGCTCTGGGAGTACCTCTGCAGTCAGCAAAGAAAAGGTGCCAGAAAACACAGGAACAAGTTTCAAACAGTACTAAAATGCTCTCTCATAGTAATTTTTATTACAGCATATTCTGACCTTTTAAGTCATAAGGAACTGATATTATTGCTGTACTTTTGGTAAATGGGAATCATCAAACTACTGTTCCTCAAGATCATTCTGAACAGCTGCAAGGACAGTTGCATCTCTGGGGCTGCTGGTGGGGATGAGGGAGGGCACAGAATAGTCTCTCCCTGGTCCCACCTCATGCTGTCTATGCCAGATAAGGCACTGTCCAACTGGGAGCTGTCTCTATAATCTCTGTCACTGCTGGGAGGGAAGAGGGAGCCTCCACAATGGAATTGCTGCAGTACAGATACACAGCACAAATTCAAACTTAGTATAAGCTGAATTCTGCAAGAGGAAACTTCACACCAGGTGTCAGAATTGTGTTTTGGACATTAAGAAACTTGGGTTTGGTCCCATTTCTTAACCAATATAAATCACAAATATGACTTGGAGAATTCTTTATTTGGCATCTGTAGCCAAACGGTTTTCTCAACTCCTGTTCAGAGTGTGTTAAAATTATTACTGTAAGCATTAAATGGATAACTGAGCTACAGTCTGATAGTCATGTGTTGGCTAGTTGCTTTGATGTCAATATGCTTTTTGTTTGCTGACATTATTTTAGTATTACCAGTAGTTTGGGTAATATGTCTTCTTGTTTATATTTGGGAGTATTAACAAAGCACGTAAGACCTGTCTTACAGTTCTTTCAATAAGAAGCCCATGGAGTTTTGAATAGATGTTCCCTGACTAACATAAGACCATGACCAGTTTTCTCTGTTAGCCTATGGCTCTCACACTTGGATTAATCTTGGAATGTAGTCAGCAAGTAGGAAGGCAGTAGCAGAAGAAGGATGGCCTTGTGCAAAGACTGACAAAAATTCACAGCACTCAATGTCACAGTCTCAGCTCGGTCTTGTCACTTTATTCTCACCTATATCACTCCTTTGGGCAAAGGAAAGGATTTCAAACTGGGGTGTCAGTAAAAGTGCCACTACTGCTGGTTGGAGAGAAGGAGAATCTAAAGGTATCTGGGTTTATTGATGATTCACAGTAATTAAGTGTTGGCTGCCACTCTGCTTTCACCTTCATCAGTACTCTGTGGCTGTGTCTTCTCTGTGCTCCCTAGCAAGTGTTCAGAGAGCTGACCAACTGAGACTAAACTTCTGAAAATACAAGCTGCATGAATGAATCAAAAGCTACATTGCTAAATTCCAGGGGAAGACCAAGATATTTGAGGTTTTAAATCAGTCCTTTACAAGCCTCCCAACTGGATTCATTATGAAGTCGCTCATCTTCTAGATGGAACATAATAATTCAACAGAGAAATTCACAGGCCTTTAAATGGTTGTTTTGCTTTCATACTCTTTTTTTTTTGTGAAAAACATAAGAGTACAAAGCAAAACTGCATCGCTATCACAAGAAACTTCTAAGCAAAACAAAATTAACATGAGAAGCAAGTAGAGCATTACGGAGAAAAATGGTGCTACTCAAGAAACAGATAGTACTATTAAGATCATTTAGTTGGCAAGGCAGAAAGCCTGGACTGATTGCCAACAGAATGGCAACAGAAACATTCAGATAAATTCCAGTCTCACAAACATTAGGTCACATGGGAACATTTAAATGCAGTGCAGTATGCTTCCCTAAAGAAGTGATGGGAAAAAAATGTTTCTTTTATTTTTGCAGAGGAGAATTTTATATTTGGTAGAGGAAACTGAGTATAAGCTATAGGCAGAATTTTAATCTAGATTGGCATTCCACTCAGGCAGGGAGTGGGCAAAAAGGCTTGTCTTAGCTGCTGTATTTTGTGATTGCTGGAAGATGGGGTAGGATTCTCCAGTCCTTGCTCATTCCTCACTCAGTCTCTGGAATGCACAGGTACAGGCAGCTCCTCTCTGCTTGGAAGCGAAGCACGATGTGGTTTGATCTGGTAGCACCGAAGCATAATTCACTGGGTAGCATGAGAATAGGATATAGATGATGGCATATCTAGAAACTCAGTAACAGACTATTTCAGCTGGAAGCTGCAGTGTTTGTAGGAGTTCAGCCCCATCCTTGGACACTGAGGAGAAATCATAACCAACTTCTTGTGCTGTAAAAGAAAGTTGCTGAGTTTTTTTCCTAATACCTTCTTTCTCACTTCTACCCTTTGCTGTGGTCTGTCTCCACAGGGAGCAGGATCTGGCTCTGGCAGCTCTAAAATTTTTATGTGATGTTTAATAAATGGGTCTTGGTTTCAGTCTCTTTTCCATAAGATGTCGTTTGAATTTTAATATATTTAGCACAAAATATAAAGCCTATCCCTGTGCAGGTATTTTCCCTGTTACAAAAACTGCAGACATTCCACTTGACTGCTATGAAGGATTATACCTGAAGAATACTGAGATACATAAATATTTGCACAATGACATGAACTTAAGCTGTGCAGGACAAACTTTACCAAGTCAAACAGAATCTGATGAAAAATTTTTAGATTTAGAGAAAGTTCACATATTTGTACCCCATCTTCAGAAAAACAAGCCAGTGAAAAAGATACCACTGGAGTCTGAGGGATAAATTGGACCTGAATTTTCACACTTACGTTTTTTAAATTTGTTTTGTACTTACAATACGAGGAAGCCTATTAGAGTACGTACTGCAACTTTAGAAAATCGCTTGTCTCTGAAATATCCAAAATGGTCACCCATGACTTAGAAAAGCCTGAGGAATTTAATGCAGAAAGGTGATTTTCATAATCTTACACAACAGGAAGCACATTGCATGCAGGATCTCTTGTAACGAGCAGGGCACAGCACCTCAAGTGCAAGGAGGGCTTTAACTTTCAAGTCTATACTCTGTGTTTCTGTAATCAAACATGAAAAGTACTAAATTCAATATCAATTCAATATCAAACTTAAATAATCAAAATCAATTAAATTCAATATCAAACATAAGTAGTATTAAATATCAGAGAACTGGCAGGTCACAGTAATGCATTGCCACACTAGAGACAGTTATGGTGGTAAAGCTGCACAACAGTGGAAAAGTAGTGGGGATTCTGTTCATTTGTCATATGTGTTTATTTGTTATTGATGGTGAACATATTTGTTGATTTACTTGAATAATGCTGCCATTTTGCAATAGGCCATTAGTAAACATTTAGGAATCTTCATTTTATATATAGTTGGGCCCGGTAATCAATCTGTTTATTACTTTAATTATTCTTGCTACAAAAAGGCTTTTATATACTTAAGAAAGGAGATAAACAAATTGGAAAGTGTCCTGCTGGCACACCAACATTTGGGAAAGGATACAGACAGTACATCCTCAGACATTTATATTTATTTCCATACTACAAACTGCTAAGATACTTTATTCTATGCAAACACTGGCAAGAGATCAATATAAACAAAATGATCCCGGATGAGCAGCTCCAGCTCATTGTTATGGCCATTTCTCATGCAACTGCCTGTTTGAGCTACTGAACAATTGCTGGGGTTCCTGACTGGAAAGTATCAGTTACTTTCCCGTGAAGAATCTCGCAAGCGAGGAGTAAAGTGACAGTGGAAAATTGTATACTATGATGATATAAGCGATATAAAAAATCATGGGTTTGAGGATAAATCTTTTATTCATAACCATAATTTTCATGCTATTGCATCTCTATTTATCAGCCTCCATAGCATGTCACTTCTCCCATCCATTCTTTTGGCACTGCAGCCAGTAAGACGGATACTCGAGATCTCTATCCAAACGTGCATTTTCTAGAACATGAGGTAAAACCAGAAGGAATCTGAATTACAAAAGTACAGTAATCACAATGCATATTAATAACCTGTAAAAGTAGACTGAGCCTTTGAAATGTAGTTTACATAGTCTTTGTATGTAGTGTCTGAAGGTCTTCTTTTATTTATTATTATTGATTCTGCATGAAACGGTTAAGATAGCTTTTACAATAAAAAAGATGCAGCTGGAGCCGTGATATTTACAACAAACTTTGGCTTTAGTGCATTTAATATAGTGTCTGTTTTTTCCATGTTAACCTTAACTTTTAAGAAATTCAAAATCTCG